TCCCAAAAATTGCTTAAAATGCAAGTTTATGTCACAAAGTTTACTGTTAACAGCTGTGGGATTTGAACCTGCAACCTTGGGAGTTTGCTCCCTTAACCACTACACCAACACAGTGACATATGCAAGACAATTGCCTTACCGAGAGTAAAAAATCCAAAAAAATAAAAAGTCCCAGAAATTTCTTAAAATGCAAGATTATGTCCTAAAACATGCTGATGGTGATTTTTTAAATATTCATATAAAATACCTTTTGGAGTTTTAAACACAAAATATTCACTTGGCAGCATGTTTTAGGACATAATCTTGCATTTTAGTGCATTTTGGGGACTTTTTGGTGATTTTTGAAATATTCATATAAAATACTTTTTGGACTCTTAAACACAAAATAATCACTTGGCAGCATGTTTTAGGACATAATCTTGCATTTTAAGGCATTTCGGGGACTTTTTATTTTTATGGATATTTTCACGATGGTAAGGCTATAGTAAGGCATGTTTTGGGTGATTTTTGAAATATTCATATAAAATAACTTTTGTGATGGATGGATTAAACTAGTAGTGCTGGTTTTCTTTTAAAATTTGAAAAAACACTGCAGAATCAGGAAAACATAGCCAAACATTAAAACACCACATTTTCAGCCTTTAACCTCAACAAACCTTATGTCTGTGTGGTTGTGCAATAGCACAAATGCTTTTCATGAAATAGATCAACTTTACCTCTGGTGATACACTGTAAAGCATTTCTGGTTTTCATTCAAACACAAGAAAACATTGCATTTGCGACATTTCTACTTAGACATTCTCTATGGACAAAGGTTGCATCACCTTCGCCTTTCACAGTGAAGAGACCAGTGTCCCAGGTTGTCATAGTGCACATCTGATTGTGGTTTTGGGCGTGAGGGTCTTCAGGTGTAGCCTGTCCTTTCTGGTGGTGGAGAGCTGCACCACCTGAGAAACAAGCAGAGAAGATTACATTTAGAAAAATATTTTTTCCAAAAAATGTAATCATAATGTTTCAACATCTATCCCATAATGACCTGCTATATTAGGACTTTGCCAAAAAAAGAAAATCTATTATATATTTAAACACTATGTGTTTATATACTCCACGTGATTCTTTGGTATCATGTTACTTAATGAAGAATCAACTGATTAAGAAAAATTAACGGAGAAAAAAAAATGTTCTGAATTATCCTGACTTGCACCCAGGGAAGGTTCGTGGCTCCAAAGTCTAGATTAAAGCAAACACAGCACTTACAAATATGCTCTCTGAGCCTTTGTATTGGACCTGACTGCACAGTGAATCTGTATAATCAAAATTCAGTTGAAATTTTTCACATTTAAAAGTTAGAGGTGTGAAAGAGATAAACATAGATAGACTAATTAAGGGCTAAGTTTATTCATTAAATGTTTTTCAATTGCTTCTCTGCCTTATATGTATATTTAAGTATTTATTTAGGAGAACAGCTTAAATCAATAACTGATTTAGCAATAAGGAAAGATGCCAGACAACCCACTCTGAATCAAAGGTTAGTGCACCTACGTAAACGTTAGATAAGTGTGAGTGCTCTGCCAGACAGAATTGTCCTCCGACTCTTCTGGATGTCGTCGGATCATCTGCCGTCATGAATTTAAAGCTTCTCTTCTTGTGTCTCGTCTTGGCAGCGCTGCTCCTACCTGCTGAAGTAGGTATTTACACAACATTATATAGCAATAATAATCATAAACATTGACTTTGTTGTGGAAATACGAAGCTTATACTTTTTGTCACTATGTACAATTTTACTGTGAGCTGCCTTTAACTGGAAATCATATTTTTATATAGCTCAAACCTAAAAAGGACAAAAGAAATCATCACGACCATAAAGATAGAGGTGATCACCACCGTGGTCGGGGTCGTCCTCGTGATCGAGAGCATGAGCTTAAACGTGAAAAAAAGAAATGGAAAGTCAAGGACATTATTGAAGGTGAAGATTTTATTTTCTTTCCTCATTTAAAGACGTTTAGTCTGCGGACGTCCTTAATAATCCTTCTATTAAAATACCCAAATATATATGCAGTTTGACAGCAGAACAAATTTATACTGTCTACCTGATAAAAAACAATTTCCTTCTTGACGTAGTTTTTCACATCTTCAACGACGAGGATGACGATGAGGAAGAAGATGAAGAACACGAGGAGTGGCTTTTTGACCTTCAAAATCCAGAAGGTAAGACAATTACAATTCCAGTTAAATTTATGATTTTATTTATTTATTATCTGAAACCATCTATTATAGGTGGTGACGCAGAAGTAGGTTTCCTGCCTGACATGCTATAGATTTTGGTTTAATTCTACTTTATCTTCAGCCTTGCGTGGGATTTTACTGATACTTACAGTAATACAAACAATTATTACATATATTTTTTGCTTTTACAGAAAATGTTACTAGTTAAAGGTTTTTAAGCATTTATGTTTCAGTTTGATAAAGTCAAGTGATTTAGAGTCGAGTAAATTATAAATTAAAGTACTAGTACCAATCCTATGATTTCTAGTAAATTACATTAAAAGATTTAAATGTAATTTACATTTTTTTTTACTGCATTACAAACAATATTTTACCATGGATAATCCACCAGTTACAGAATTTCCCAAGTATTGAATAATATATTTATAATGGCTGTTTCCTTCTTTCTCAGGTAGATGTAACCCAAACCCTTGTATGAACAACGGGGTGTGTGAGCCAAAAGGAAAGAACCACTTTAAATGTGACTGTCCCAAACATTTCAAAGGGAGGAGATGCGAGAGAGGTTTGACCATTTTCTCTCTTCTACAGCTATAGTTGTACACAGAAATTATAGCTAAACCACAACCGACAAGAGTAAATCTAAACAGTAGTTGTGTGTTTCTGTTCGCTTAGGTCCAAAACGTTGTAAAAAACAAAAATGTGGGCATGGTGAATGTGTTCTGACCTCATCGCCACCATTTTATGAGTGCAAGTGTAAGTGGCCCTTCCAGCCTCCAAACTGCAGAAAAAGTAAGTATGTTTCTTTGTTTGCACACATTATTTTTCATAAATTCTTAAAGACAGTCATCATGTACATCATGTACTGTTTTTAACCCACAGTTTCACCGTGTGAAACCAACCCTTGCAAAAATGGTGGAACATGTGTAGTGGATGGTGAGGACTTTGACTGTAATTGTCCTCCAGGGTACAGAGGACAATTTTGTCACGTTGGTAAGTGCTACCAACAAACCACAACATTCATTCTCTGGTGTTGTTCAATATTTAAGGAACTCTTTTCTATGTGTGTTTGGTTGTTACATTCTTTAGGCCCAAATGACTGCTTTGTTGATGATGGAGAGTCATATCGCGGTAATGTGAGTGAGACAGATGACGGTGACGAATGCCTGTACTGGAACTCACATTTCATTCTGGACAAGGGAACCAATCCATTCAATGCTTTTGAGGACTCAGATGGACTGGGCCCTCATAACTTCTGCAGGTCAGGAGAAAAAAATATGAGTATTTTATAAAATAGACTAACAAAAAGGTTTACCTTTTTTTCTCTTTTTTTTTTTTTTTGGCATAGGAATCCTTATGGGGAATCGATGCCCTGGTGTTTCTTCAGAAGGCGCCACAGACTGGTGTGGGACTACTGTGATGTGACTGAGTGTCCTGACCCACCAGGTAAGCTGTAATGATGTGTCTCTGAAAAACAAAAAGTTGTTTTAAACTTATCTTTGTGTTTTTTCAGTTATTACACCAACTCCTCCAGAGCCTGATCCGACACACGAAAAGCCAGAACCTACAATGCCTGAACCTACAATGCCTGAACCTACAATGCCTGAACCTAAACCTACAATGCAATGCCTGAACCTACAATGCCTGTACCTACAGCAGAAATAGAGCCAACAACGCCCGCAACAATGACAACCAAACCTGCAGTGACTACCAAACCCCCAACGACTCAAGCACCTCCAACAATTGTCTTACCCAGTGATGGGCCAACTATTGGACCCACTGAGGGTTTTGAGATCCCCATAACCACTGCCCTGCCCCAACCTTTTGCCACCTGTGGAAAGGCAGAACCCAAAAAAATAACCAGAATTTTTGGGGGTTTAAAAGTATCTCCAGGGGCTATACCATGGCAGGTGTCTTTGCAAGTGAGACCAAAGAACACCCACCTGCCCTACAGACATGTTTGTGGAGGTGTTCTAATCTCCAGCTGCTGGGTATTAACAGCTGGACACTGTATGTAAGTACACACCTAACACTACAAAGAAAAAGAAAAACAGTTCAATGGCTGGAGATGTTGCTAATGGTGAGTTCTCGCTGATGGAACAGCATCCAAAACAAGGACATGCTGGTGACTATGGGAGGTCTGTCGTTGGATTATGAAGAACCCACAGAACAAATCCACCATGTTGAAGAGGCCATTGTCCATGAGAAGTTCAATGAGACTGCACTAGCTGTTTACAATGACATTGGTAAGCCACGTCTATCCTGGTTCATTTAATGAAGCGACTTATACTATAAACAACATTAGATTGTACAATTACAGTTGGAATTTGTAGACTGTGGTGTGTATAAGTAATACACCACAAATGTAAAATTCTTAAATGTAGTTATTTATTTAAAGGAATTTGACTTTGTCTTTTGATTTTGTTCTGACTTATCTCTGTTGATTCTCTATTTATGATTTTAATATTTAAAGCTTTGCTGAGGCTGAATGGAACTGATGGTGTTTGTGCCACTGAGAGCCAGTATGTAAAGACAGCCTGTCTGCCTACTGGCCAACTGCCTGATGGGATGGAGTGCACCATTTCAGGATGGGGTGCCACCGAGAACTGTAAGTTCTTTTGCATATTCAGCTGAAATATACAGTACAGTCCTTACATGTAGCTTTAAAAGCATATCATGTAGGACTTGTGCATTTGTGTTGCTAAACAAAATAAACACAACAAATGGCCTGGCCAATGACTTTGGTATTGTAAAAACATTTGTTTAATTTTAATCTAAGCTTTTAACTTAAGAATAACTTTCCATTCAAACCTATGATCAATTTATGGTGAGAAGTTAAGATGATCACTAATCACTAATTTCTCCACCTAGAAATGTCAGGAGCCCATACGTGGAGATTATAAACTTAAAGAGCCCGATTTAAATGACTTCAAAGATATTTCTGCTACTTCAGCTTTGAATCTTGAATTTAGATTTGTACCTTACCGTTGAAACGAGATACAACTTTACTTACATTATTGTGTTTTGTTTCACCTTGTATCCCTGCAGCTAGTTATGGTTCCAATCACCTGCTGCAGGCCAATGTACTGCTGATCAACCAGGAGAAATGTGTTGACTCCACTGTTTATGGCAAAAATGTGGATAATTCCATGTTCTGTGCTGGACACCTTATGGGAGGAGTGGATTCATGCCAGGTCAGTGGAGGACTGGCACCACTCAAAAGCATGTTGTCATTAATAACAGATGAGGTCTAACATCTCTGCAGTGAGTCCTGACAGGGGTTTGAAATAGAGAATTTCTGCCTGCTCAGCTGTGTTCTCCTGCTGCAGGGTGACTCTGGGGGACCATTGACCTGCAAGACGAACAATGCCAGTGTTGTGTATGGCCTGGTCAGTTGGGGAGACAAGTGTGGCAAAGCTAACAAACCTGGGGTCTACACACGGGTCACTCACTTCCTGGACTGGATCAAATCAAAAACTCAAGGGACGTTCTTGTGAGCGACATACTGTGCCAGCTAGTGTAGCTGCCGGCCTGGTCACAACTGGAACAAGTTTACTGTATGTGTAGCCTGGTTTTTGTCACTAAAATGAGAGAGGTTTTTTTTTTTTTTTTTTTCGTAATTCTAATATGTCTTACACAAAAATAAGCTAAAATGTGAATCTATTCGTCTATATGTGAGATTTTTGTAATTGTACTGTAAAAAAGTATTAATTCAGATCAGGTAAGAAACAGTCCTATATTCATTCCCTCTGCCAACATTAATTTCCTATACATACTTGCAAGGTAACTCCAGCACATTGTGAAATTGATTGCATTGACACATTAAGGTATAAATTTGTTTGTCAATCTTTTATAGTGGTTTAGGAACATCAACAGAAATTCCCATTAGAATTTCACAGTCGACCTTTCTGTTTTGTATTTACCACTGTTTTAAATCACAACTGTGCTACACAAGACTCTGGAGATGAACCACAAAATAAATAAAGAGTAAAAGATTTCAATGTGTTAACGCAGTGATATTATACTATACTGAAAATATGTCCATCCATTCATCCATTTTGATCCGCTTATCCGTTACCGGGTCGCGGGGGCAGTAGTCGCCACCCTAATTCCCACTGCACTGTACCAACCCCCCCAAACCTTCCGGTGGGTGGTGAGTCCACTGGAAGCCAAAGCACCACTGAAAATATGTCAAAAAATAAAAATAAATAAAGCAGGACACCATGCTTTAGGTAAGTGGCTCCTAAATTATGAACCCCTACACACCTGAAGGTGTCAGGAAGAGTGTGTGCTAGCAGTTTAAAAAAAACAAAACATTCCCATTAAACCCAGCCAGATTGTCTTACATAAGGTACTTAAGGGCCAGGTAAGCTGTGATTAATGGTTTTATCTATTACACCTAGATTATACCATTTATACCATTTTGTATTATCACCCATTGCAAACCATTTTTGGGTCACCGTCCACCATTTGAGAAAGACTACATTTTATTTTCTTAAAACACACAGAACTGTGGAGCTTCTAAATAAATAAGCAGAGTATTGCAGTAATATGACCTCTAGATACACAGAACATGTTATAGAGGGAGAATATTTGATTATATATATAGCACCAAACTATCCTCATGATATCACCAAGAAGCTAATTTAATTATGAAATACTTTTGGTATTTTTCTCAAGTTCCGACTTTATCCAGGTCTTTGTCCTCATGCCAATGGAGACAAAGATCAGGGATCTTTAATCAAAAACAAGGTAAGAGGCTGGTGGTTCATTCCGTTCACGTCAAGGCATGGGTTTAACATGGGGAAGAGAGGCTCAGTGCACTGAACAGAGAAAGAGTGCAGCAGGATCATTGTGTCGGCATCATAAAATGAAAGCTTCCCCTTTTGGAGATTAGCCAGTACTCCCAGCTTTTTAACTCTCTGTGTCACTGACAGTTGCTTCTCCTGGTTGTTGTGCAGTACCATGTACTGTCCATCTCCATGGTACATGCACCAAAATGTACTGTTCACATAATTCTTATCTGGTACTTCTTTTTTATCAGGTGAGCCAGTCGAAACACCGATTAACCAATACGGTTTTTCCTGGACAATGACCTCCCAGTAGTGCTGGCCGGAGGAAAACCCCTCTTGAGCCAGAACACTGTACTGGGAATCATACGGCTGAGTGTCCAGTGTCTCAACAACAGGTTGCCGTCTCCAGTGTACTTGCCTCCCATCTTGGGATATTTTTAATTTTGGATGGGCTGTCTTTCTGTCCAGAGCAGGGGAACATAGATCTGTGGATAAAAAAGAATGAAAAGAAAATAAAACAATTATTATGAAAAGTTGCACAAGTTCAAGGCTGATGTTACAGCAGTAAATATTAGAATTTTTACTGACATGACCACGTTCGTGGAAAGTGCTGGGATAGAGCCAGGGAAAGGTCATCCACCAGCTTTTCCACTGTCCTCAGTTTCTCTGGCTCACACAGTTCCCTGTCTACTTCTTGGATTGGCTTCAAATCCAATGGGTCACTATTAGGAAAACTATAAATCATTAGACCAATAAATTAAGCCAACAGGGAAGAACTAAACAAGAATGGCAATTTACTCACCAAAGATTCTTTGCTGTGATTTGCTGTTGCATTAAAAAAAGACACGACTGTAGGTGCTCAAATGTACAGTATCTGCTTGATTTATACAGCTTTGCTCTACTTATATTAAAATGTTATTGTACCTGTAGGAATCGCAAATCATTTGTTTCCTGGAGGAGCAGCTTGCTGGAGGTTCTAAGACTGTCTATTTCTTTAATCTGTGCTTCCATGATGCTCCTTTGGGTTTCCAGCCACTCTGTCATGTACGTCTCCTCTGAATCTATGATCTGCATCATCAGGCGCTCGTCACCATCCAGAACAAATCGGAGTCTGCTGTACTTGTCTGCAATTTTCTCTCTTAAGTCTGCAGCAACTTTCTAAGCAAAAGAAAAATCACAAGTATTGAACAACCCAAACTCTTTTTACCTTGAGGTTAAGTAAAACCCAGGTGCCTTTACACTTAATAATTAAGAAAACAATGCTCTCATAGTTTAACACTTGTTTAAGCCTGAGAGACTCAGTCTTACTTACTACAGGTTTTTTGTAAACTTTTCATGTTAAACAAATAACAGCGTTATAAGTTTGATGCTCTTTTACAATGGTTTTACCACTGTTTGTGTGTACAATGTCTCCAAGTCCGTGATAGCAAGTTCTGCTTCACTTCTCTTCCTTAGCAGCTGGGACATGGTCGACTCCAACACACCCTAATAATTGAAAAATAACATGACTTTGGAAAAATGAACCATTATAAAGAGAAAAGGAATCCATGGCATTGAAAGATATAAAATACAAATAACACCAGACGCTGACAATCAACTTCTCCTAACCTTAAAATGAGAGCAGGCTTCGTGGAGCTGAGACGCTTTGTGGTTCTTGTGTGTTCCAACCAGGACGCAGAAACAGCACACAGGAACCCTGTCTTCCATACAGAACAACTTGAGCTCATCACGGTGTTCCCTGCACTTCAGAGACAGTGGATCTTCTGTCACCTCCACCACTGTGTGCTCCTTTAGAGCTGACCTTTCCTGATGCAGTAGGGTATGAGCCTGGCAGAGTGAGGCATCACAGGTGAGACAGGTGCTGACAGCCACCGACGGACTCTCAATGCAGTGGTCACACAGGATAGTGGAAGCCGATTTTGTTGAAGCCGATGTGGACTCTGGCTGTAAAGGTGAGGATCTGCTAGCGGTGAAGTCCTTTACTTTGGTTTGAAGACTGTTGTTTATCTCCAGACGGAGTCCAGATGAGAGAAATATCTGACACTCTGGACAGAAGAGAGGACCTTCTGTTTTTCCATCTGTTTCCCAGACAGCCTGAATGCAGGTGAGACAGAAATCATGTCCACAAGGAAGTGTCACTGGATCTATGAAGACCTCTTGGCAGACAGGACACTTCAAACTTTTCTCAACCTCAACCAGCTCAACTGTCCCCATGGCCCTGCTTGCACTTGGTTCTGTGGCTCAGTGTGTCCTATACCCTGAGTCATCCTAAGTCCTGCTCATGAATGTTTTATGGGCCTGTCTTGGCCTGTACACAGTCAGTGTCGGGTTACTAATGAGGAGATGTTGTCCTCCAGTAGTTGTTTCAAACCATTGACTTAAGGGATCTCCACAATGGAATGGCAAATTTCCAGCAGATCAAAATAGAATTACTAATTAAATTTCCAATCCAACTAATACATTGGATCTTGCTTCTTGTGTATCAACCGTTTCCTCTTGGCTAAGTTTTAATTTCCTTCATAATTATCTAACTTTTATTTACATAGTGACAGTTACATATTTCTAAAAAAAAATAGAAGTTGAATTCAAAATAAAGCAACCATTCTCAATCTAAAGTAGGTATAATTAGGTCAAACAAAGGTGTCAAAGTAAGGTATGCTTTGTTTAGAAAAAAACTTGCACTGCACAAACACGTTGAAAAATACTTGAAAGTAATTACTTTTTTATGTAATTTTTTCACTATTTTCTTTCCGCGTAAAACAGTGTGCAGCTCTTCAACACATTTTGCTCATACGTACGCAGTTTACGACTCATCTTATTGTAAAGCCTGCACTCACATGGGCCTCACGGTTTTTGCGTACATGACTTGTGAATACCCCGGTTACGCCTGCGCCCAAGCAGCGTGTGTTGTGGATGTGGCAGCACAAGTCTTACCCGGGTGACTGACAACGTGTCCTCCTTCTGTGTCCACCCACAGGTGCTGTTTTCACGGACTTCTGTAGAGACTGACTTTGTCAAGTAAGTGATCATTTTATGCAAACTCTTCTCTCCTTACTTTGTTGGGAAAAAGTCGTAAAGCAGGCCTGAAAGATGTGATAGCTAATGCTAACACTTGCTAACACTGGGAACATGTTCACTGTACAGACAGCTATACCTAGTAACAGTTTTAAACTTGTAATAGCAAAGTTACTTATGGTCATATGGTTCAATAAAACTACCCTTGTGCTCGCCATAAATGACGCCAGGCGCTTGTTCGTTGCGCGCTTTGGTTATGAAACATCACACTCCTTTCTGGGTCACTGTGATAAGTTTAGGTATCAGCATTACTGTATATAAGATAGAGGCTTCCAGTGAAATAACTATAATTCTTATCTGTAGGTTGATTATTATTCATATTGATGTGTGATACATGTTAGACGCACAGTAAAAGCCACCTTTAAACTCATATCTGTCTAATCACATCATAACATTTTCCCATTGTAGATTAGAAGATTTATTCTGTATTTACAGCTCTTTTCAGTGCCATGTTTGCCAGGCTGGCCTTGTGCTCTCGCCTGCCACAGAGAAACTGGCGATCATCTGCCTGTCCTGTCCCTGTCCGAGGGTTTTCCCAGAATAAATGTAAGCAAATTCTTGACCCTGTGTCCTCTCTGTTATCACCATCACTCTTAGAAACCTGCCCTCAATGCTGACTAGGCATAAGTTGTATTATTATTGTTAGTGCTGCCAAACAATTAAAATTTTTTATCTGAGTAATGACACTGGATTATTCATGATTAATTGAGATAAATCCGGATTCCTTAATATGACAAAATGTGTAACTCAAAAATTGCTTCACAAATTGTTGAATTTTAGTCAATACTGTACATCTTGATTGTAGTGTGTTTTGAGAGTTTTCATTAAAAATAATGGTGGAGTTGTCCTCAACTGTATTAATCAGTAATAATGACTGGTATTTTCTGCAGTTTCACATCCACGGCCCCATGGCAAATCCTTTGCCCACCGCAGTGAGTTAAAGCAGGCCAAACGCATCGTAGTGAAGCTGGGCAGTGCTGTGGTGACCCGTGGAGATGAGTGTGGCCTGGCCCTTGGACGTCTGGCCTCAATAGTAGAGCAGGTATAGGTACAATTAATACTATTGAGCTGTTATTACTACTAGGAAATACCTTGGCAGGAAAATAATAAGGAAGAAAACCCTAAGTATGATATTTTATTTTCAGGTGGCCATGCTTCAAAATCAAGGCAGGGAAATGATGATAGTCACCAGTGGTGCTGTTGCATTCGGGAGGCAGAGACTGAGACATGAGATCCTGCTGTCTCAAAGTGTCAGGCAGGCGCTTCACTCTGGACCGAACCAACTAAAAGACATGGTAAGAAAAAACAAAACCATGACGTTAAAATGTGATTTTATTTTTAATGTTCATGATGATTTGAAATGTTTTTACTTATTTTTTTCCAGTCACTTCCAGTTTTAGAAGCAAGAGCTTGTGCGGCTGCTGGTCAGAGTGGTCTTATGGCATTGTATGAAGCAATGTTCACCCAGTACAGCATCTGTACAGCACAGGTACAGGCCAAGTATAACATTGATATAATTACCCAAAACAAATTTCTTCAAAGTATTCCATCCCTCCATCCATTAATGTGAGTGTAAATGGTTGTTGTTTCTATGTGTGGCTCTGTGATGGACTGCTGAATGGGACAGAGTGTACTCTGCTCTTGTCTGATGACTGTTGGGGGGGACCCATATTGAACATTTTAATTAATTTATGTTTTTTTTTTTTTTTTTCAGATTTTGGTCACCAACCTTGATTTCCACGATGAGCAGAAACGTCGCAACTTGGACAGCACACTCTATGAACTGCTGCGAATGAACATAGTTCCTATAATTAACACCAATGATGCTGTTGTCCCACCTCCTGTTCCAAACAGTGACTTACAGGGTGTAAACGTGAGTAGTGTATGATTAAAATGAATGTAATGGAATCTTCTGCCATTATGTTGTGCACAAATCTGCATGTACTTTCTTCACTGGCTGTATATTTTAATGTCAATTTTTAGAAAAAAAAATTGTCTAGCTAAATTGAACTAAGTGTTTCTTTTATTGTAGAAAGTTTGAAAACTGTGTGTCCTTATTGTCTAATGCACAGTCCTATATTTCAGGTAATAAGCATTAAAGATAATGACAGCTTGGCTGCACGACTTGCTGTGGAAATGAAAGCAGACCTGCTTATCGCCCTTTCAGATGTGGAAGGTACAGATATGAAATTGTAATTGTGATTTTTTTTTAACTGTGTAAAAAGACAGATCAGGGTTTTAAAGGTTATTTTAATAGCCAAAAGTTTGAATTATAATTTAAAAAACTTTATCAAAAAAATCCTTTAACAGGTTTATATGACAGACCTCCAGGATCAGATGATGCCAAGCTCATTGATATATTCTACCCTGGAGATCAGCAGTCCATCACATATGGAAGCAAGTCTAGGGTTGGCATTGGAGGCATGGAAGCCAAGGTCTGTATTTGCTTTTAAGTGTAAACAGAACATTACTCTGGGTTGAAGCTGTTTGCCAAGTAACTGTTTTTTTCTTTCTTTCTCAAACCAGGTGAAATCTGCTCTTTGGGCCCTACAGGGTGGAACCTCTGTCGTCATTGCCAACGGCACTGATCCTAAAGTCACGGGTCACGTCATCACAGACATTGTTGAAGGGAAGAAAGTGGGAACCTTCTTTTCAGAAGTGAAACCTGCTGGTAGAGCACCAAACCATTGTAACATTTTAATAGCACTATTGATGGCGCTGTGTTCTTATGGATGTGCTTTTTAATGACATCACAAGGTCCAACTGTGGAACAGCAGACAGAGATGGCCCGGCATGCAGGCAGAACTTTAGCCTCTCTGTTACCTGAGCAGGTACATCTTTTTTTCATTCCTACTATAAATACACACAGCATTGTAGTAAATGATGTTTTTTTTTCAGAGAGGAGAAATTATCTATGCTCTTGCTGAACTACTTACAGAAAAGAAAGATGAGATCCTCAGTGCCAACAGGAAAGACATGGAGTTGGCAACTGCATCAGGTACAGAAGCACAAAGAGTGGGATTTCTGTCAAGAAACTTTATAAACTTTTTAGCAAATTGCAGTAATGCGTCATTTCCTATTTCCTATTATTTCTATTGACTGAATTAGACAATCTAGTCTTAAAATATTGAGAAAACTAAGAAGATTTGACACATTTTAGTCATGTTTTTGAGTCATGTTTTTGAGTGTTAATAATCATTTAACAGGTGGTAGTTGTTCCTACAAATTTTAGATGGCATTATAATTGGTCCTATCGCTTCATCGCAGGGACTTTGTCTCAAGCTATGATCCATCGTCTGAGTCTGTCGACGGCTAAACTGAACAGTCTTGCCATCGGACTTCGTCAGCTTGCTGTTTCCTCCAAAGATAGCGTAGGCCGAGTGTTGAGGAGAACCAGGGTGGCCAACAACCTGGAGCTGGAGCAGATCACTGTCCCCATTGGTGTCCTGCTGGTCATCTTCGAGTCACGCCCAGATTGTCTTCCTCAGGTAAGTCCAGTCCAGGTTTGATTGTGTAATATATATAAACATTATCGGTTGTTACTTTTCTGATAACCTCCACATTAAAAAAATGATCCTTAATTTTTTCTGCTTCTAATGCTGTGTTCCAGGTGTCAGCTCTGGCTATTGCCAGTGGAAATGCGCTGCTGCTGAAAGGGGGGAAAGAAGCTTCTCACACAAATAAAATTCTGCATCAACTCACTCAGGAAGCACTTTCCATTCATGGAGTCTCAGATGCCATTCAGCTGGTAAAACTGAAGAAATGTTGATATATTTCATGCCACAAAAATGTTTTTTTGAGATTATATTAAAATTGACATTGATGCACAGGTGAGCACACGTGAAGAAGTTGAGGATCTGTGTCGGCTGGAGAAGTTGATCGACCTGATCATTCCCAGAGGTTCTTCTCAGCTTGTGCGTGAAATCCAAAGAGCAGCCAAGGGTATTCCTGTTCTGGGCCACAGTGAAGGTGTCTGTCACGTCTACATCGACAGTGAAGCCAGCATAGACAAGGCTGTAGATGTTGGTAAGTGGGTTTTTTTTTTGTATAAAGGATTTAAAAAAAGAATTGATTCTTTTAATTGTTTGTTTTGGATAAACAGCTGTGTTAAACAGTCTTTTTGTTGCAGTCAGAGATTCCAAATGTGACTATCCTGCTGCCTGCAACGCCATGGAGACCCTCCTTATTCACAGAGACTTGTTACGAACTGCCATGTTTGACCAGATCATTGATATGCTCAGAACAGAACATGTAAGAAACCTGCACAGATCATCCACAATGTCTCAAGAGCAATTAGAACAAAATCATATGGCTGTTCTACTTCCTTGTCTTAGGTGAAGATCCATGCTGGGCCACAGTTTGCATCCTATTTAACTTTTAGCCCATCTGAGGTGAAGTCTCTGAGGACAGAGTATGGAGAGCTGGAGTGTTGCATTGAGGTGGTTGACAGCATACAGGATGCCGTGGACCACATTCATAAATACGGCAGCTCCCACACTGATGTTATTGTAACAGAAAATGAAGAAACAGCTCAGCAGTTCTTGCAGCAAGTGGACAGTGCCTGTGTGTTCTGGAATGCCAGCTCTCGCTTTGCTGATGGCTACCGTTTTGGTCTGGGTAAGTAAATCCTGAGGTATGATATATTTTAGCTGTCAATTTAAACTGATAGATAAGTTAACGTTTCCTGCCTTTTTTATGGCAGGAGCTGAAGTTGGCATCAGCACAGCAAGGATACATGCCAGAGGTCCAGTGGGTTTGGAGGGGCTTCTCACCACCAAATGGATTCTTCGAGGAGAAGGGCACACAGCAGCTGACTTCTCAGAGGGAGGCAGTATGAAATACCTCCACGAAAACATGCCTGTTCACCAGGGCAGCTTCAGTTAACTCTTTCAGCTACGAGCCATCACCTGGAATTACGTTTCTCTGGCTAATTCAAGATGTGTGACCTCCTGTAGCACTATTTAGCTGCCTTTCAGCTACTGAGTACATTTATTTTTATTCACTTGCAGAACTGAACTGGTTTTGTGAACCAGTGCACAAATGTCAGAACCTTTTTTTAAAATAATACAAAACCGTTAAAAAATGACTAGTTGTGCAGTGACAAGCAAACTTAACAAATGAACTGGATATATTTTATTTTTACTTTGCCAAATAAATCATTGCCCCCTCTGTGATTTTTTAACTTATTCTTCTATGTCAAAATCCTCATTTTTGTTTCCATGTTAAAGGTCCTTTTCTATTTCCTTTTTGCAGATTGTGTGCAGAAATGTTGTGCAGTTCCTTGTGCCCATTTTCATATCAAAGAGGTTTAACAATGATTTCCAAAGTATTGAGCCGTTAAATGCACAGTAAGAATTAATGTTTCAATTTTCCAACGGCATTGAAAGCAGCATCTGTGACGTTGTGCTGTGGGCGGAGTTGCTGCTCAGCACAGCCCACAGACATCGAGGCGAATCTCAGCTGTCACCTTTGACAGTATCAAAGATGGCAGGAAATAAGACTTACACGATCGTGGCATATTTCGGAGGAGATGACGGCTACCGCTGCGGTTATTGTAAAAATGAAACTGGGAACCATTCAAATGGTAAGTGTGCAAAAATATTGTGAATTGACTAGAGCAGTACGACATGACATGACAGAATGGCTCTATGCTAATTGCTTAGTACCTCCAGCTTGCTGAATAGGAGTTTCAGTTTCAATTGTAGAGGTGTTAAATTATATTTAACAATGTAATTAACACCGAAGACAGTTATGATCAAGCTCAACCTCAACTTACTGTTAACCTAACAATACTTGGATGTTATTCAGCTTGGCATCTAGCTTTTTAGCCGTTAGCATCTTTCAGTTAGACATTACCCATACAACAAATAACAAAACGGGTGAAGTGAACTATAAATAGACCGCTGACAATAAGTAATTTACAAAAACAGTTGATACCTGCATGTTTGCACAATAACAGGGATTCTAACTTTTTGTTGGTCGCCGACGAGGTAGCTAACAGTGATGCAAACTTTACAAATGGGTAAACCCTAAACTACTGAACATAGTTTATATGTTCTTGGCAATATATATATAGTTACATGCTAATTAACATCGATTTTTAGTATTGTATATACTGTATAAGATAGTAAACACTAGAAAATCAAACTTGGAGTCAAAAACCTGTTGGTGCCGTTACCCATTCTACACGTCTGTTTGCAATCAAATGAATGAAGTAAAAGCTATGTTGTTTTATACTTTAGTTATATATCCCAAATATATCCTTCATTAAAAAGGTGCACATATGCCTTTTGTTGTTGCTTTAGAATTTGGCTGTGAGAATGAAAACTTTACCCACTGAGTAGAGTTAACTCATAATTAGTAACAGGTCACATGGAAAATGTAGTCTGGTGCTGATGAATTTCATGCATCTAGCAAAAGAAAAAAACAAACAAACAATGAATGCAAATCAAAATCTTAAGTTTTTTGAAGGCTAAAAGTGAATTATTAAACAAGATTAAAAATTAAAACATGTATTTTCAAATGCTTAATATATATATATATAAAACCAACCCCCCCACAAAATAGCTATTGTTAGATTAAAAAAAGGAAGAAACAAGGAAGGCAATGTTCATTTGATGTTGTTTTTTTTGCTTATTGTTCCATATAATTTAGTTAAACAGCAGTTAAGGTTAACTCTCAAACACCATCTGTGTTGTAGTAGTTGGCAAAATAATAATTAAGTAGTGCCACATTAGACTTTACTTCCTCATAGGTTTGCACTGACTGTAACTGATATTGGTCAGTAACTAACTGCCAGTTGAGAGCAATGCTGTGACAGCGAGAATGTGAAACCAAATCTGTCAGTGGCTGGAACATAATAAATATAAACTCCTCTGTCGGCCCTTACTGTACAAGGATATTTAGAGAAAGATTATTATAAAAAATTGAGGACATAATTTACTTTAATTTAATTTCCCAACAGGTGTTGAGAAAGATGTTCATGTGATTACAGCACATCTGTCATCGCTGGTGTTTTCCATATTGTACAGACCCCAGCTTTGTTATATTGTGTCTTCATGCCTGAGTGGAGGTTGCAGACTAACATAGGTGGGAAGAAATTAAATGTGGTGATGTTTTGTCAATAACAGCAGGTGTGTCCCCATGTCAACCATACTTGCCACAGCTCTTGTGCAATAAGAGTTTTTTGTTTTTTTTTTGAAAAACAATTTTGACAGTTTTTACTTTGATGTCATTACTGTGATTGTGTGGAGTCTAACTGCAGGCTGGAGCACTGTTTTCAGATGATGTATAAACCTGGCAGGTGAAAGTATTTGGCACTTATATTAGGAATTATATAGAATTATATATTATATAGAAAAGTCTATATTATTGTGATTTACATTTTTATATTCTCATTAAATTATATATATATATATACTGTTACTGCAATTACTACTTCATAGCACCAGGGAATATGATGTTCAAGGCCCCGGCTCTCCCCATTAAATTAACTTGTTTGTGTAGCCCAGTAAAGCCTATAAATGACATCCTTTGTGTTTATATTAAAGTTCGTCTGCTGTTGTCAAAGTCTTCCGTCTGTATCAGTAGTTCTACTTCTTGCTTCGGTAATTTCCTGCATCATTACAGAGATGTTGTTGCCACGTCCCTAGGGACGTGTGTATTGTGTGAACTGCTCTTACAGCCTATCTCTCAACCCTGCATATAAAATAACATGGGTGTTGCCATGGAGATTCCATGTTTGATTTGTGTGCGAACTGTATACAGAAGGTGAAGAGTTGAAAAGGACAGCCCCGTCCATTCAGGATTGAAGCTGCTGTGGCGACAAGCGATGCATTTCTAAACATTAGGCCTAAAAGCACTGTGGGAATTTACTCAGTCAAAATAAACTAATGCTGTACAAATATGTGGACTTTAATGACACATGTTGTAAAATTACATCATTATTAGAACTCCACAGATCTACTGGCCAGTGACTGTAACGTCATCTCATCTTAATATTTAAAGCACTTTAATTAATATTGAATTTACTTTTATAAAATTTGATATCAAACTGTGTTGCTCTAACCTGGCCATCTTAATGTCTTGTTTTCTGCAGGGATGTGGTCTCACTCCATGACGGTACAAGACTATCAAGACCTCATAGACAGAGGATGGAGGAGGTTGGTAACAGCAGACTCACTTGTCTGACAAACTGACGCTGTTATTTATTTGTATAGTACATAAAATGTCATTACTATCTATTCATTTTGTGTGTGTTTCGTGCAGAAGTGGGAAGTACGTGTACAAGCCCACCCTGAACAAGACGTGTTGTCCACAGTATACCATCAGGTATGGCTGTTTTTCACTCTTTATATTACAATAAACTTTGGAGAAGAGAAAACTACATTGTAGTCTAAGGTAGTACAATATCATATTTAGCAAAAAAAAACCTGCAAAATGAATACCTATATTTACCTTTGGGTTCTCTGTTTAGGTGTCATGCACTGAAATTCCAGCCTTCCAAATCCCACAAGAAAGTGTTGAAGAAAATGAACAAATTCATTTCCAAAGGGGAGTTACCCACAGGAGAGAACGATGGTGAGAGCAGTCTGAAAGCAGTGTTTTGAGCTGAACAGATATCTTGAACTGTGACTACTATCACAGCATGTACCCTCTAGTCTGACATTGATTTTTTTTGTTTTTTGCACCCGGCAACAGAGCCTATGGACTCGGTGTGTGATAATGCAGGTCCAAGAGAACCGAGTAAAGCCAGTCAGGCAGAAATGAAGTGTGCCACTGTCACAGACATTGAGCAGGAAGTAGTGGAGTGTTCGTCCGTCACAGATGTTCAGAAGGAGGAAACAGATGCTACTGCTGCAGGGACTTCAGGGGAAGCTGAAGTGTCAGTCTCGGGTGGAAGAACGACAACCTCAGCTCCTAAACCAGGTAGAGAATCTGGTCCTCTGTCAAACACCTGGCAAAATATTGTTCTTGAGACTAAGGTGCTAATCATGAAGCTAGAGAGCAGATGTGACTCTTTTTCCCACGGTATTACTATTATTTTTGGTATGACTGTACAGGTAGTGCATCAGGATGTTGTTGTGAGTCTACCGAATGGCATTGGTTTCATTAGGGATGAGAATCTATAAAAATGTAACAGTTCTGATTTCATTATAAATGTCCCTGTCATGATTCTTGTGATTACTTGGCTGTATTGCTTATGTAATATTTGCTTTTCAATTTTAATCAATTTTAATTTTACAATGTTACTATGAATCAAAGTTGTCAATTCACAGTACATATTGGCATCATTTAAGGCTGGCCACAGGGTGGCAGTGTTTACCAGGTTGTGATAGACTGCAGTGTGTAGTAGCATTATGGTGAATGAGTCTGCCACATCCTTTATGTTTTCCTGTCTACTCTCCAGTACAGGAAATACTAATGGCCAAGCCACAGTAATGAGGTGCACCAGTCATTGTTAGGAAGATAAGACAGTCATTTAAAACCGGAAGCAACGCTTCTGATACACACTGGCATTTCAAAAGGGAACAGGCCTTAAGGCTGTTAATGAACGGACAGTGAAGTATATTGGAGTAGAAGGTTTATATAGTTATGAACATCAAAAAAAAAAATAGTTTAAGTGCCAGTTTATCGCTCTCTCTCTCTGACTCTCTCTCTCTATCGCTCTCTCTCGCTCTCTCCCCCTCTGCCTCCATTCAGCTGTGTCAGCATCCTGGTCTTAAAACAGGCTCAGTTAGAGAGCTACCAGAAAGGAAGTATGGAGGATTTACTATGTGGAGCCTGTTCTTCTCCCCTCCCCTGCTTATTCACCTCCAACAGAAAACACCTGGACATACCTCTCCTGTAGCTTTGTGACTTTATAACTTTGGGCAGGTTCCAGTTCTAGCCTGAGAAAAACACGACTTTCCATCTGCTGCATAGCATATATAAAGGCAGGAATAAACAGATGCAGAAGGGCACATGGAATGTTCTTTGTAAGGGGAAAAACACAAAGCGAAACTTGAACACGTGTATTGCAATTCCATCTTGAAACAAAGTGGATTTATTTTTTCAGGAAGTGGTGCCACAGTAAAGATGATCAAGTCATGGAAAGAATTCATTTCTTTAACACAACCTACAAGTGTTCAGTTGGGCTGAAGAGAGTTTTGTTTTTTTCACATTTGTTCTGATATCTATCTCTAAATTTGACTGTTTATTCAAAACAATTTGCAACCTCAACATCAAAATGTATGCTATTATCGTTTTACCAGCAGCTAAATTTCACCTTTAGTGTACATTTAGTGTAACACAGAAGAAAACGCACGGCAAAAAATTCTGCATGAAGGCAGTGATCCATTCCAACTTCACAGCATTCAGTATTTAGTATGATAAACTCCTATGACCTGCAGTCAACATTCTTTGTTATACCTAAAGTTCCACACCTGATCTTAAGTTAAGAAAATATAAGAAATATATATATATATGAGTTTTGACTGCTCTCAGGTAAAACATTTTGATGTAAATAGAGAAAATACTGAAATAACAATCAAATGAAAATAGTTTTTGCTGAAGATATTTTAAAGTGCAATAAAACTAAAAACTGCAGTTTAGTAAATCACTGGAAGATATATTAATAAGACTAGAGATATTAAAAATATTCCATATATGACGAGTCAATTTTTGACACAATTTCATGTTAAATAATGTAATTTGTTTTTTAAACATTGAGTGGTCAAAACAACTTTTGTATAATAAAGTCTGTTAATAAACCTGGTTTAGGGTTTTTTGTTGTTTAGAAAGTATGACACCTTTTTTTTAAATTGTTGCTTCATTTGTAATTGTGCAAAGTTTTTACAAATTAAGTATGTTTTAAAGTCCAATAGTTGTCTAAGAACGGTAAACTGCAGTACATCATTGTGCAGATTCAGTGACACTGCATTTCCTCCTCAGAGCTTGTATTTTAGTGGCACATAAAACTGCATCTTCTCTCCCATCATAAATTAATTGCAGCTTTATAACGTTAACTGGCCTAAAAGCAGTATTTTACAATTGTTACCAGTGCTGGAGTCTGGGTGTATGTGTGTTCAGGGAAGGAGGGAAGGAGAGTGTCATAGGTTTTATGGAGTGCTAACTACTGGAAAGGGATCATCTGTCTTTCACAGGAACTGATCTGTTAGACCTAAACTCCATAACAGCTGTATATACTGTCCTCAGAGCCAGAGAGACTGAGTGTACAAGAGAATGTCCACGAGAATGTGTGCATGTGTTTTCTGTCTAATTATAAAGAGGGAGACACGTGGACACGTTGATCATGGATAATGATCGCATTTGTATCGGAGTCAGAGTGATGGATGCATTCCAGGCTCTTGATGCTCTTAACCCGAGTGTGCTTATCCTGACAGGAAATGCTTGTGACCACTCAATAACTCCCAGGGTTACATGTTTATATTTGAGGAATGCTTCCCTCCTGTCATGCCTCCAGTCACTTACTTTTAAACACCAACAGCACAGCTCACAGGGACATAGTCCAGATACAAGAAACAGATACATGTTAATAGGACCCTTTGTTTGCTTTCTACAAAAAACAAAATTCTAGGTTCTGGCTCTGGTGTGTTAAGAAGCTACTGCCCACTACTGCTTAATACGTACTTCACAATAATAGTATCTGTATCTGAAACAATAACATCCTCATGTGTCTCGACACACTGAGCGGTGCTCAGTACATTTATCACTTCCTAAGGTTTAAGTGCTGAACTCACTGGCTATCTCTGCATCACTGCTGAAGTCACCTTCATTTTGGTAGTGGCTGCTCAAAAACCAAAATAACATATGCAAACAGGATCATATTTTCGTGGACCGTCATGAACACATGAAATGTGATCTTTATATAATAAGTATGACCTAAAAGCAGGATCACGCAGTTCCCAAAACCGAACAGACTTCGATAGAGGAGTTAATTTGCATTTATAGGTAAATGCATAGAAGTCTACCTACAGTTGTAAATTTAACAGTGGCTCCTGTCATAACTTGTTTTTTTTTAATTATTTAAACCCTGTTGTTTGCGCTACACTCCCTTGTTCATGTCTCTAAGTCTGTATCCTGGCAAATTAAAACATATCTCCTACAGTAGTAACTCATAAGACAGTGACAGAACCAGACAGACAGGCACAATAGAGAAAACCTTCGGTGTTTGCCATTGTCTAATTTTCCATGCTGCATTACAAGGCGGCAAACGTTGACTATATGACAGATTTGGACTGCAGGCCAGCTGCCTCCATGCTTTTGTAATCTGTGCAGTATGAGACCTGCAGAGTTCCTGGGGTGGGGAAAATGTCTGACCGTGTATTTGTCTCTCTGTGATTATGATATTCATGTTAATGCCCAAACCGTTTAACTTGCTACTTGAGGAATCTCCCTGAATGTTTCTACAATGACCTCTTGTACTTTCCTAAGATTTTTTTTAACTGTGTTGCAGGCACCAAGTTCTAAGTTGTTTAATTTCATTTAATAAACGAAGTGAGGTTTGTCAGTAAGAGCAATAAAAGCCATTTCTATGACCTTTTGCCTGTTCAATAATGTTTAAAGTGTTTTTCCAAACTTTTCCCTGTTTTCATTGGAAGCGGCCTTTGTACAAACTGCCATACAGTTGGAAGTAAAAGATCCGACAGCTACCACTGAACTTTGTCTGTTGCCAGAGTTTCTCTCTGCCCTTGTCAGAATCGGTCACCCATACTTTTTTTCAGTGACACTGACACAGTAGTACGTTTTTACGCCAGCTGACTGGCAAGACAGCAGGCAGGAAATGGCTCCCGTTTCCTTAGTGCTCCAAACAGGATGTGGGTGTGTTAACTGTTGACATGGGATGCCCGAGGAGCTGCAGGCCTTGGCATGAGCCCAGGCAGTGGTGAAAGAGGAGGAGAAACAGACGGAGGATGAGGAGGGGCTGGCAGAGAAAGAGAGACCAAGGGGGGAGAGATTGAATTGCTTCATAAAATGTTAGTGTGTGTGTTTAAAAATGTGTTAGTCTCACTGAGAAAGAAAGAGAGTGTGGCAGTGTGTGCTGTGACAACAGCAGCCTCAGGTATTGTAGACACCTCTAACCCATCGATGTGCCTGCACCACTTTACTCTGGTGGGTTTTCTTTGTTTTAAAATGAAAAAGTTTGTTGTTCAGCTCTGTGGCCTTTACTGCTGCTGACTGCTTGGATCCCAACCAGTGCTAGTCTGCAGTGATGTAATGTAAAGAGTATTAAGGCAGGAAAACAAGCAAATGACTTCCATAGGGTTTTCTGTTGAGAGAGGCTTTTAAGCAGAAGGACACTCAAGCAAATATGGCTGAAATGCCCAGAGGACTGAAGAGACTCTTTGACTCCATTGAGCTTCTCTAGATCCAGTGGTCAACTTACATGGAGCCTAGTCTGCCGTGCAACACACATATTTTGTATTATTTAGTGAGAGGTTTTGTGAAGAACTTAAGCCGAGGTCAGGCAGTCAGTTTGTTGCTACTTTGCGAAGAGCTTGGAGATGGGTAAGCCGACCCTGAAATAGAGCAGTTCCACTAAAGATTGTGAGGGTGCTGTTTTGCATGGCATAGCTTACGTGCACCTTTAAAAGGAACAGCATGAAGACAACAGTACAAGGACAGAAATGGCTAAACCAGAGATAAGAACTTAATGTCCTCTCGATTTATAATGGCCACACAGACCATGGCAATCCTTTGCCCCACCACGTTTTGCCCCTTTTCTGTAATCCACCTGTTTTGAGGTGTGCTTTGTTTTTCTATGTTTGTTTGTTTGTTTGTTTGTTTTTTTGTTACCTCTGGAAATACTAGTTCAGTCATATTTAACCAAATTCTTTCAGTATGTGTCATTTTTGTCCGGGAAGTCCTTAATAGACATTACTCTGTTTATTTTCCAGGTTTGTCAGTTTTTTTGTGGTGTGTGTTAAGATTGTTCCTCATTCCAGTTCTTAATATAAATTTCATAACATTATCATGCTATAAAGCTACCTAATAAGGAACCCATAATCTGTTTAAAATATCATTATTTAAATGCTAAAAAAAATGCTAAACGTGCTAAATGCTAAACCTTTTGAAATCAGCTTTAACATTGAATGGGTCTGAAGTCTTATATACTGCCACCTTCTTCTCTTGTTCTCTGTAGGGATGGGGGCCGATCCTAGTCGACCACTGTGCCGCAAAGCCAAAGACTTGAGGAAGGAGCGACGTTTTCAGAAAGAGCAGATGAGACAACAGACCAATGAAGTTTCTTTCACTGTGTCTGCTGCCTCCTCTGCTCCCTGTCAGAACAGCCAACCAAAAACCTTGGAAGACTTCATCAGTGAGTCACTGCCTGACAACACTTCTCATTCCCTTGAGGTAAGAACATATTGAAGGAGCTGATTTCTTTTTCCACCCACCTTTTTTCTGGTAAAAACATTAGTCTGAGGTGTTGATTTCACTAATCATTTACAAATGGTGTTGTTGGTTTACTTTCTTCTGTCCATAATATTGTGGCTAGCGAATTGGTTTTATTAAAACCCTCTACTATAACGCCAGTGACTTCACCATGTGTTTATATGTGCAGACTATAGCTGGCTGAAGCAGAGTGGAAAAAAACACCAAATTCTCCTGTTAGGATTCAAACAAATGACAGGCACACCACACACGCTGGGGTCACTTTATCCCACTTATGACATGAAAACCGCAGCTCTTAGCTCAGCCGCTGAGAGAGGACATGAAATTAAACTTCTGGCAAAGGCGGAACAATGTAGAAAGATCCCTGGCAAAGGCCTGGAGCTGAGGTTGGTAAAGTAACGTCATCCTTGGTCCTGACCATGATTTGAGTCAGATGCAGAGATGAACCAAGCGTTTCACTGAGGCCATTCAAGAAGACCTCCACTCTGCTTAAAGACATTAATCAGCCTGCAATTATTATACGCAAACATACGCAAGCTATCCTTTGATTTGTATAACAGGAGGGATGTCTGACTGTGACATGCATAAAGCATGATTTTCAAATAAGGAGTCTAATGAATCGTTTTTTACCACTAAATTTAGAATAAAGTACTAAGTTGTTTAGTACAAAGATAAAAAGATGAAAATTACAATTCATTTGTCACTATAATGTATGTAACATATAATACAATAACATTTAGGTAGAACTGGACATACATGATTAGAAGAAGAAATAGCAGTTATATGTGCCAGAATCGGGCTAGAATAGAATATAAAGTTTGCAGTAGTGCATTTCAGGTCCTAGCAGCAGATGTCAATGCATGAACAAACAGGAAGAAGATATTTAATTTAAATTTAGATATAACACACGCTTTATAAATATAGGACATCTACATATAAATATGATTAAAATAGTGTTTTTGTAAAAATACACTTGAAGAAAATCTTAAATCTATCTTACAGAAGATAAATGTGTTGTTAATTTAAGTTGCAATTTGGCAAACTCGGATATAATTACAAACGAATTTGTCAGTGTAAGCCTATGTAGGTATCTTTTCGACCACCAGGGTTCAGTGTTACAACGTTGTTCAGCGCCTCTTACCTCGGTTCTCCTGCAAAGTCTGGAACCATTCAAATAAACTCCCAAAGACTTTATATGATATTTTTGTATTGTGATATTTTTCGTCTAAAATTTCCCCCTGCTACCACGGAAGTATTTGGACGTCAGTTGTCTCCAGTGGTGCACTGTATTTTCCTAAGTCTTTTGTGAAAGTTCGACCTTTCATTTACTTTAAAGCTAAGACAAAAACCGCTGGTGTTAAATGGCTGTTTTTGACCATTTCTAAAGAACCAAAAACTATTGTAAAGTTTCACAACTGTTATTGAATTTCAATTTCCCAAAGCCCCCTCGTCAGTTGGTTGACTGAGTTCACCTAAAAGTTTCCCCTCTGTCGATACATCTCTAGTCGTAGAACAAAAAGATTGAGGAGCATTTCAAATTTTATGTTAGAGAGACAGAACATTTCTGGTGGACTAAATAATCCTGGAGCCAAACGGTTATACGAGAAAACCCACACCAGGTCCAACTCAAACAAAGCCTAGGTTCACTTCTGTCCAGGGGAATTCACAAACAGTATAGCTGAACTTCTACAGCTAGAAAAAAAACTTCCATACCACGAGATAAATAAATAAAATGCAATAAGGAAGTGGAATTCTTCCACAGCTTGTGGAACATTAGCATCAATTAAAGACGTTTCGCTACTTTTACATGCCTCTAAGCTCCATCTCTATTGCATTTGATAAAAAGCGCTGCCCTCCCTGCATTGGTAGATAGACAGATGGGTAGGACTTTATTCATCCCTCAGGAGTTCTCTTTAGTATGCAAGTAGTGCATAATTGCGTAGTGTAGTGCATGTATGCATTAGTAAATGCTCTACTGTATGTGAGGTGACCTATGATGTTTGATGATTATAATTAAATACGTTACAAGACATGTGAAGCCATGAAAAAATATATATGTACCATGCTGGCGATGATCAGACTTAGGAATGGTCCATTTCTCTCTGATCACATGGTGAAGCACTGGAATCAGAATCTAACACAGGAAAGTTGATGCTGCTGATTTAAAATAACTCAGTAGTATTCATATATAGAGATTAGTCATATTTATATGAAATAAATGAACATAACTATATTGCTGGAACAGACGAGTTGTGTCCCAGACCGTGGTGAAGCCCTTGTTATCACCACTACTAAGTCCACAGTCCCTTCGTTTGCACCTTGGTTTGCTCTCCACCTGTCACTCTCCCACAGAAGTATGTCTCTCTTGTCACTTGCACTCATTTATTTCTTTCATTTCGATGTTAACCCTTGTCTGACCATATTCTTTTTGAAGGTGAGGCTAGTGCGCTCCAGTCCCCCTAGCCCGCAGTTCAAAGCCTCTTTTGACGCCTCCTACCAGGTGTACAAACTCTACCAGATGGCCATTCACAAGGACCCTCCTGACAAATCCACTGAGAACCAGGTCAGAGGGTGGGGGGGCAAATAGGTCAGCCTGCTCCAGGTGTACACAGGGAGGGTGAAAATGGAAGAATCTGAGGACTAACATGAGTATCAGTAGTATTTTTTGACGATCATTTCATTTTTGTAATTAAAGTAAAACTAGCTATAAGCTCAGATTTGTCGTTGATGTGATGTGTTATTTATTATCATGTAAAAATAAAGTGCACTGTTAAGTTTAGACATTAGGCTTTTTAATAAATGTTTTAAATGGTGACTTTTGAAGATTGGCATAATTGGAAACATAACTGAAGGAAGACAGGAACTGGTAAATTACCTGCTCTTAAGCGTTCTGACATCAGGTCTCACTGGAGTAAACCAAAATGTCCGTATGAGTTACAGAAAATGAAATAACGTGTTGGTATTAAAGAGAGCGTATGCACAGAAAGGCATGAGTCAAAGGGAGAGGAAATGGAGGGGAAAATGTTTCCATACGCCACGGTTGAGAGCAGTGTTTCTCCAGGTGCTGGACCTGGCCCTCAGTCACTCACTCAGGTTGTTAGTCTTAATGTTCTGTGGGGGTTGAGGCCGGTTGGTCGGCTTCACCCACCTGACCTTCACACTTTTTCTAAATGTAGCTCTGTCTGTAATGGAATCTATTTACGTCTTCTGTATTAGGTGGTGTTGAGAATTTAATTTCCTCTGTTCGTGCGACGTCTACTAAACTTTGTTTACCTTCACAAGAGCAGCCTTTAGTGATGGAGCTCTGTATGTGTCTGCTGCGATGATCCATTAAGACTCTGTTCTGGATTTCTGCTGCGGTAGAGTCTGGATCTTACACGCACTGCGTTGAATCATGACTCTGCCATCCATCTGTGGCAAAACCTGGACAGTGCACTAGCCTCATCTCCAAGTTATTCAAAATCACTCTCTTTTTTTCTTCACCCCAAAACCACTCTCAGTCTCCTAGATCCTCATTCTTCCCTTGTCTGCCCGTGTCCTTTTCCCCCCAAAAGAATCCAATTAAATTGCTAAATCAAGTCTAGAATTCAAAACAGACCTACTGTGTTACCAACAAGCCTGGAGGACTAGGAGACTGATGTGAACTTTGACGTGCCAAAGCTCTGATAATACTGCTGTATAAAATCTCAGTTTTTGATTCTTTTGCTTTGAAATCTTTTTTTTAACCTTTGTTTTTTTTAATTTAATTTTGTTTTTCTTATTTACCAACTTTACCAACTAAATACGTCCCCCTACCTTGTCGCTCCTTTCCCATCACACCCTGTGCTTGAAGGTGAGGCTAGTGCCCGTCGACTTTGAGGATCCGCAATTCTCTGCCTCCTTTGAACAGTCGGTGGCGCTGTACACCCGCTACCAGATGACCATTCACGGTGACGACCCCAGCGAATGTAGTGAGAGCGAGGTACTGTATGATTGTTGTTGTGCTTTACTCAAGGACAGAGCTGGTCGTGTTATTCCTGAACAGTGGTTTCATTTAGGCCCTCACTTTCTGACATTAAATACCTTTTTTTTAACACCAAAACACAAAGTACAACTGGGTACTGTTTCGAGTCTTTAGGAGTGAATGTGACATTTAATGCACATTATTTTATATTAAACATTATATATTTTCTCTCGCCTAATTTCTCAATGTTATATTAAATACAGGAAATATAGTGTAGCAGGAGCTCTAGACTCGAGGGTGCAGAATTGCTGGACCTTCTGAGTGGGCCTTTTGTCCCTCAGGGCTGGAAAAACAACCACCTCCACCCACCCTCCTGCCAGCAAGCCTCAGTAAATTACTGAATTCTCCAGCTCGTAAAAGTAAGGTAATTAATAAATAATAAAAGCTTTCAGATTGGGCAGACTGTGGCAGATTCTTTCCTAGTTTCATAACAGCGGCCTTTTCAGGGGGCTGTGGAGGGGGACGGGGCTTGTGTGAGTTCGTGTGCGATTTTGTGTGCACAGCTTCAGGTTTATGGCCTGCGCAGGTATCGGATGGGTTCGAGAAGCAGAGGGAACAGTTAAAAAAAATAAATAAATGTGTGATGTTGTGAAAGCAACTCCGTTGTGGTGCCTCAAGTCAATGTCAGCCTTTTAAATTTATGGACTGTCTGGTTCAGACACTGAAAAAACGATGTCATTTAAAAGTATTTACTGACAGAAATTAAAGTGTGACTAATGAAGTGAATACAGTTATGTATTCAGGTTTTATATGAGGCAACAAAATGTAGATTTTGTAATAAAACAATTTATTAAATATCAAATTTGACAAATCTCTACCTATAATACTTATGGATATAGACAATTTGGAAAAAAGAATAATTTTGAAATTGATACAAATACAAATGTCTAATTGGCATTTACAAGCGTTTATATACTTTTATACCTTTAAATTTAAATTGAATATTATAGGATATATATATATATATATACTGTTGATTAATTTGTTTTTGCCATAAATTTCTATGACAAAACATTTTTTCTCAGTCACTGTGCCTAATAAAGTAAGGTTGACGTGAACTGCCGACCAACAGATTTTAGTAAAATGTATTTTTAGGAAGGGTACCAACTTTTCTGGAAGTGGGCTTTGGTACATGTTTATGGCCCTGTCCTTGCAGTGGGTTAACTGGTCCATACATTTTACTAGGTCACCTAAATACCAGTCCTTCAGACGTCATGTCTTACTCTCCAACATCTGGTCCCAGTGCGAACGATACAAATGAATCATAATTATTCCCCCTAAAACTAAATGAAGCTTCATTAGAGTTTTTTTCTCTTATGTTGCTCTTACTCACAGTGACAACTACTCCTGCACCCGCAGTAATAAGTAACGCTAATTTTATTTGTCAGACACCTTCAGACACAGAGTTCACTCGCCTGTTCGCCTTCCCAGAAGCTTATTGTTTTGTGGAATTTGTACAGAAATGAGAAGCAGAACGTTGATGTGGTGATGACACACTCTGGTGCCATGCCATTCCAGGCCAGCTGCAGCTACCTGGGAGTCGGGTCATTTGGTGTTTGTAGAGGTATTTATTAATCTATTAAAGTTTCACCCAGGGACACAGTGTAGGATGCGATTAGCCTGGCTCTCAGCCATGCAATTGAAGGCGATTGTGTTCTTCTGTTATTAGACAGTGAGATATCCTAGAGGCAGAATGGGTTGGCTCGTTAAAAAAAAAGTTGCATCAATTTTTATGCCGCAGCCTGACTGGAAAGGAGCCTGGCATTGTTCAGTCCATGTTAAAAGCTGGTTTCCTGGTACGTGAAGGTATTTTGACTTGCATTTATGTGTATGTGCTCTTACACACACAGACATGAACTCCTGCCCCTTAACAACTGGGTTTGGTCACTTACACACACACGCACACACATATTTTTTTTTTTTTTTTGTGTTTTATGAGCAACACCCTAACCCTTACTTTAACTATTAAAAATATATCCTTAATCTTAGTCCTTGACCTCAAAATACTGTCTCACTGGATGGGGACCTGTCTGTCCCCACAAGGACAAAGTGTCCCCACAACAGTAGTACTAAAAAGTCCCTATAAGTGAACCTAGCACACAAACTCACACGTATTGTTTCTAACTGTTGCTGAGCCATGACTCTATGCACATGTGGCATTCATTTTCATGAAAACAAATCCTGTTAAATCTGTATGTACTCTGTTCAATGGCCAGAGCTCCAGCTAAGATTACAGGGAAGAAACAATAGGAAAAAAGTGAATAATAAAAAAATATAAAACCCTTCATCAGACTATATATAAAAGCAGTTTTTTTACATTAACACACATTGATTGCGTAAATCCAGTAGCATCATTGTTGACCCAGTTACAGACATGTAACTGAACCTCTGCTACAGTGAAAAAAAGCACAGACAGAAATAGGAAACCTATTAGGATTTTTGAATGTCTTTATAAAGAGTAAATTCAAGCAGCTTGTCACACGGAACAATTTCAACAAGTGATGAGGGGCCTAAGTAGCAATTAGGCTCAAGCAGATGTGTGTGTTTGCGATGCTGTACTTGTGTGTGTTAGTGTGCACATGTGTGCGATGGCTGCCTGTCCACCTAACCATACACAGATGTGTTTACTATGTGAAGGAGAGAGTTGGAGAGGAAGTGGTGGACTCCATGTGTTGATAAAGAGCAGGTTCCAGGAGGCTATTTACTTCAGCTTAACTATTGTAGTAAAGGAGGAAGAGACGATGCTGAGTTAATGGTCCCTTTACTGTCCTTATGCCACTAGGGCTAAGTGTATAATGCTAGACTATCCTTTACTGTGTGTGTGTGTCTGTGAATATGTTTGTCTGCCTCAGCTAGGCAGGACTGAGTAGTGTAGTGTAGTGTAGTGTGGCGTGGTCTGTTGTTTGTCAGTGACCAGGGAGGGGAGGGTCATCATTGCCAAGCTCCAGGAGAGCAGCCTCACGCTGCCATACAGGATCACAGCAGTGGCAGGGCAATGTGATATGATTACCCAGAAGCCCCTTAATGAGTGCCAGCTTAGGAGGAGGAACCTCTCCTGATTCACATTCACACTCTTGTAGTGATAGATTCAACACAGTGCATCCACAGTGCTGCTACGCGGCCTCTTTAAATGATCTCATCCACTTACTGCAGCTGTTGTTCTGTTGGTAATCAATTTACTTTTATTTTGTGCTGCGTTTAAACAAAAGATTCAGTTATGGCCTTCAGCTACAGTATATTGCACATTGGAAGGTTACACTGATGGTAATTTGTGGACTGGCAAAGCAGTAGCCACTGCAGTATTAGGAGTGGAAAATTACACTCTACTGCCAGGGTTCACTGGTGGGGTGCTTGACTTAATCACAGTGTTTTTGCCTAAGTAAAGATCATTGATCACACAGATGTGATTTCCAGATTGGTCCACAGATGCACGAATATTGTCAGAATGTATTTTTAATGCTTGATATATATTCAGGCAAATCCAATTTAAATAAGATCAGTATGGGAAGTATTGTTCTAATACCCACAATGTGCACCAATTTAGAGGAAGCAGTATTGATTTAGCCGTGTATTTAAAGGAAAGAAGAGCGTAACCAATTGGTTAACTGGTGTTCAGGGCTCACTTCACAATAGTTCATTATAAAAATTAAGAGTTAGTTTTGGAAAATATAACTTAAGGATGTGCTGCCAGGTAAGAGGAGAAGGGGGAAGATCCAAGAGAAGATTTGTGGAAGTGGACATTGAGACTGTTGGTGTAACATAACACGAGGCAGGATATACTGTAGGTAGAGATAATGGCAGATGATTCTGTAGCGACCCCTGAAGGGAACAGTCATAAGCAGATGTTTGCGAATATACAACAGAACAGATTGTTCTTTTCACTATTAAAAAAGAAAAAAAAAATTAGGAAGTGAGCAACGCCTTGTGGAAATTTGGTTTTTAACCTAATCCTTAGCATCCAAGTGGACATTATTTATTAAACCTCTGCAAAACATAGATAAAGCCATTTGTAGCCATCAGTGATGCCAACAAAAGTTGAAGGTTCTATAAATATAAAGATTGCAATACTTTTGTGTGAGTCTTCTTGTTTGACATAAATGGCAGCTTTGTATTTTTTTTGTTGAGCTACTGCCACCTACTGGTTTGATGTTTTTTTTTTTTTTTTTTACTTTTCCCCATAGAAGCATCAAGACAAATTGCAAAAGAAAGAGGAACCAGCACGATATACCTTCTGCAGCCCTCTAAAGTGACTGAGGTCGAATTTTTAATAAAACTGTGGTTTATTTGTTCAGCAAATCCTTCCTAATCTACCTTTAAACATGGAGATTTGCTATGTTTGTGCTCCTGTCCTTTTGGTCGGCACGTCTGTAAACACACTGCTCTCAACCTCAACCTTGGCGTTTAAAAAGAGAAAAAATGGGAAATAGTGGAAAGAAAATTAACGAAAGATTTAATGTTTTTCCAAAGATGTACGGCCCGCTGGTAATTGATATCCGATGTGCTCATTAAAGTATGTAAAGAGATGGGCTATTTTGACATCAGTGGCGCTGCCTATTTAAGCTGTCATTGTGTCCTCCCTGCACTGTTGGTCTGAGTTGAAAGGATAAATGTTTTAATTTGTGTAAATATGGTCTCCCGTGTTTATGCCCCTCTGTGAACTGGAGACTGCATTTGATATGTGACACCTGAGTCAGAAGAAAACAGGCAGGGATAAACTCTGTAGGACAGCAGTGGAGACATGGATGGTTTTCATTTATATGGCTTTTCATAAAAAAGAGTCCTAACTGTTTTTCCTCTCTGCTCCCCCCCCAACTCCCCACCCCTGCACTCTCCCCACAGTTCCGGAGATTTCTCTGTGATTCACCACTACAGGTATGTATTTTCTTTGGACTGTTGACAGTTTAATAAAATCCTTTTTATTATTATTATAATTTTTTTAGAAATGCATTAACTGTAATAATTCTTCCTAGAGAAAGATCTTAGAGAAGGTCATCCTGGGGGAAACAGTTGTAGTTCAGGATAATGATTTGAAAAATGCTCAGTATTTTTACATTTAGTTGTTCATCTCACACACACTTGGTGGTGGTCTTGCATTCTTTAGGCCAAATAGTGTAATCAGTAAAAAAAAAATCTAACTGTAGGCCAAGGGTCACCAACTATATTTGGCCACTGAATAAGATAAAAGTTTAACTAAGCAACACTTCACAGGACTGGTGAGCTGCTGTCTTCAACTGCACTAAAGTACACATTAGGTCAGAACAATTACCCCAGCGATTAGACCCAGGATGGGCACTTGTTACAGCCACTTTTAATAGCACCGAGGTACAAGAACGCACACAGACTGACTGACACACAAACAGTCACTGTGTGCTGCCCCATGGGCTCTCAGGCCATCGCTAATGAACATCATTAGTGTTTATAGGAAACAAGCTTTTATCACCTCGTCAAGGTCGGCATCCAGGCACAGCAAATTATACAGGTTTACACACATTCACGTGTGCACACAGTGACTTGCACACACTTCACTGTCCTCTCTTTTCTCCTTATCCATTTAGCATGAGTCTTCACCCCCCGCACACACACACACACTCTAAACTAACATTTTGGTTCGTTCCATTTTCTGCTCTCATCAATTCTCCAAACGCTCTCAACAAGAAGTTATTTTTTTCACAGCTTTTTGAGCAGTGTCTGAGTGAGGTAGAGTCCATCTGTGTCCAATCACGGTGCTATTAAAACACAGAGACTCACCACATGGACCTACGTACTGTGTGGTTCCCTGTGTCACGTGAGCCTTCATTTGTACAAATGGTGTATTCACAAATTAAACTGCAGATAATTAAGACCGTAGTTTCCCACTCTATTTTCCCTTTTACTAAAATTGCAGAGAAATCATGCTGAACTTAATTAAAATTGGCTGATACACAACTCTGTAGGAAAAAAAGCTAAATATGCCAGTGAACAGGTTGAAAAACTCATTTTCCTTTTATTTAGGCAGCACTCGACACAAGTGTCTCTTAAACCACTCTGATTGACCACGATGAGGTCAATCATGTGTTTTTTTGGGATGGATACTTGGTTTCCTCCAAGGCTCTAGACAATTACTAACACAACTGATCTTATATTATCTTTGCGTCTTATCATTGTCTCTTCCTTCTTGAATTGCATTACTGCTGCTTTATTTGCAATAATAACATTTTCAACCAGTAACTGGTAAACATTCCCAGTCTAATGTTTGCAAAGGTTTTGTAAACTCTTGGAAAATAAAGACAGAATAAGAATACAAACAGAGGGTGGCGTCCATGCACATGAACACAACAGTATGACTGGAGTTTCTTTGACTAGAGTGGGGAAATATTATTAGATGACAGGTTTTATTTATAGAAAATCTGCATGCCCTACCATTGGCTTATATGACTCACTTGCTCTTTTGATTGTTTTAGGCTACATGCACACAAATGACTATTATTCAGCCAGGGCTGTTGGCCTGTTGCTCTTACATTGCAGAGTCCCAAAGTAAATACACAGTATTTCCAAGGTTCTCATTTTGGACCGTTATACAAAATGAGTGTTTCAGTTTTAGTGAGCAACAATTCAAACTCTTTCAACGATCTTAAACAAACACGTCTCAGATCGACTCCCAACTGTGGCAAGTTAAACACTTGCTCACATGGCCGTGTATTTTGGCCATATGAGAGTGATTTGGGGCTGCAGGGGAAGATCTGGGGTGGCTCAAGAGAATGTTTAGATTGTTGTCACAGTGGCAAGGACAAAACCATTACGCTGTCATCTGAGGTGATGCATGGGTCAGACAGAACCAACACATCAGGACCTTATAAACATTCACGCAAACTCCAATAATTAGCGATTATTTCTTCTGCATTGGTATTTACATTTGCTATATGATTTAACTTGAACATGTACACTTGACATGGGGTAAGAAAACCTCCCCCTTGTATTCACACCAATCATCTCACACACTTTCCTTCTACTTGCAACTTGGAAATGACGCCAAGGTTCCTATAACAAAGCCTCCAGTGTTTCAGACAGAACTGGTGCCAAGATATAACAGGCTGCTGCTTAGACAGACTGACAGTTTCCCCAACCTCACACACACAGACACACACCCACAGACACACAGGGCGGTGCCTGCTCCAGATGTGATACCTGTCTCCATAGAACTGTGTTTAATTTCATTTAAGGCGACATATTTTATCATTAACTATTGGTCGTTCTTTTTCCATGGCTTTTTCAAGTTGACCCATGACCACGTAGGTCATGGGTCAACTCTACTATGTAAATTTGTGCCATCAGTGGGTCCAAACTATTATGTGTGACTGTATTAATGCCCTGAATCACATACTTTTTACTTTATCAAATAATACTTTTAAAACTTAAGTTAAGGGTTTTGATCCAAACCCCCACAGTTTTCAAAGTGCATTGTTAGAACACCTAAATTCCCACAGGCTGATTTTGAGGTAGTACAGCCTGATTCAACCCAACAGAAACTGATTTGTATTATTCTCAAATGACTATCAATTTTTTTTAATGGGAATCAATATGTTTCTCTCTAAACTCAAGGAAAAAATGTGATCTTCACCAACTTTTTTTTATTTTTTCCTTCGTTGGAGTATGCCAAGGTTTTTTTATTAATTCATCTGACAATTGGCTGAAGAGATTGGATTCGTTATAGCATTGTGTGCTGCGTTTTATGACTGGTTCGGGAAACTGCACTTCGTAAGCTGCCGCTGCAACCGCTGCCTCTTATCTGTGTGTGTGCATGTGTCCGAGCCAAAGTCATCATGGACTGGGCTCTGGTGATATCCTCCAAACCCAGAACTAAACTAGGAAAGAAAACTTATTTTCTACCACCACCATTTACCTGGAATAATTACAAAAAGAACCGAAAATTTAAATCCCTTTAAAAGGAGCGAGAAAAGATCACCCTTGGCAAATGTGTCTGTTCCTTGTCCTGTAACTATTTAAGTACCTTGTTCAAATTTTGCAAACCTTGCTTTCAAATGTTTAGCAGTTTTAATGTGGTGTCTTATCTCCGTTGAGGTTTGTTATTGTAATGTTTTGTTAAGTGGCCCCTATTGCCAAGACTTTCTTGAAGAAGAAAAACTAAAGGAATAACAACAAAAACAAAAGTAGATCCAAGAAAATCCAAGAAAGCCTTGTTTCCAAGGGAACATAAAAAACATGCCTGACATGGATCTGCTGTGGGATGAACACAGAGGGACAAATAGAGAAACTGATACATCTTTCTTTTCTGTTGTTTTATGGTGGTCTGGTTTTGGTGGTCTTTGGTTTATTTCTAGATGGAAATAATAATAAAAAAACTCTCTTGGCAGCAGTTTTTCAAAGGGTTGCTTATATCTGTGGATCATCCCAGAGCAACATGTACTGAGTGACCTAGAGTTTTGGTAATGTGTCGCCTTGTCTTAAAACTGAAACACAGTCTAAAGTTAAAATAAAGATTGCTGTAGTCCAGCTGTCATCTGTCCACACCAGGGGTCACCAACATGGCCCCCATGGACTACCTAAGGTGCCCGCGGGGCATATTCTAGCCAACAAGAGGGTCTGTTGTACTGTTACGGTGCTTTTTTAATCAGTTACACTTGCAGTGATATTCAAATGGGTTTATCCTATATAGTTTATCCTATAAGTTGACATATTTCAAAAGTTTGTTCATAGTGGACAAAACATATTTTCTGTATTGCTCTGTACTATACCATAAACAGCTTGAGATGAAAGTTATCGCCTAATATTTCTATGATCAAAATGCATTACAGCCCCAGGTTTAAACAACACAATCATCTCTTCAAACCAATCTAACCACACATATAAATAAATAAATGGACTTGTGTATAAGTTGTGGCAGATGTGAAATAACACCTGGGAGTCCAAGGGCCTGAGCCTGAGGGCCACAGTCTTGTTTTTATTACGTGTGTGATGTAAGAAAAAAAAACTTCAGGAGAAAAAAAGTGGCACACGACGTTTGGCGCCCATCCCTCTGGGGTCACAGAGCTGTGGGGAGGAGAGAACGTTTGGTTGGAATTAGTTTGGTCACAAGTGTGGGCACAGTGCGAACTTGTTCATTTAGTGTTGTGATAACTACCAGTGCCTGCACACTTTAACTGCCTCCAGATGAATGTTGGGTGAGGAGACAGATCCTATTGCATACACACACACACACACACACACATATAAAATACCGTCCCTTTATATGACTTTTAACCCTAACCCCAAGCCCCCCCCCCCAACCTCCCTTTTATAAAAACAGTCCGGTCACTTGATTGAAAAAGCCCAGCGTGAAGATCTATCTGAGAAACTCCAGTATGTCCGAACTTTTTACTAAAGCATGCGGGCTGCGCACCTACACCCACATTCTTTTATGCCACATGGCGAGCACGTAGTGACTTATATGGAAGAAAACTTGGCAGAAGTCCACCCCCTACCGATGAAATGGATTTTACTCATGCAGGCTCTTTTATTAAAAAGTCATCCCCTGGAGTGTTTCTGTGGCCAATTCCTTGAGCCCCCCCCCTCCACAACTCCACCCCGCTGCTGATCTCTCTCCACATTTGGGAGCCATTAGCAGGCTGAACGTGAGGCTACTGTACACTTCTACACAAAGTGTGAGGCCTGTGGGGGGAAAAACTAGGTTATGATACACCACACTACAGGTGTGTGCAGAAAGTAGAAAAACCGTTCATTTTATGCTGATTTTAAACTCTGTCTCACAACCCAGGGCTAGCGTTGTCTGATGAGCAGCCACTCTGTTTGTTTGTCTTTTTCCCTTTCTCAGGCAGAATGTTCTCCAGACGGCCCTGAAATGGGCTACGGCTCCTTCCATCAGCAGTACTGGCTGGACAACCGCATTGTGGCAGTGGGGGTTATTGACATCCTGCCTACCTGTGTGTCCTCTGTCTACCTGTACTACCACCCAGACTTTGCCTCACTGTCTCTAGGCTCCTATTCAGCGCTCAGGTTGGTCCCAGAGATGTTAACCAATGGTTTAAAAAAGGGAATCAGTGTATGTTGCTAAATACATTCAGGCATATAAGAGATTTGCTATTTTGGTGCATTTTAATCAATTAAATAATAATAAACAAGAGATATTAACACCACATATAAAATGATCCTGAACAGCAGTTTGGTAGGAATTATATTGTCTAAAAAGTTTTTGGGGCTCTTCACAACAGTCCTTTTTACCAAGGGGGGTGCTGCATGGATGATGGCATGACCCTTTCTTTTTGTCGCACACATTTTCATTTACTCATACTTTTTACTTGTACTTTTTACTGTTCTTTGTTTTCTTCCTCCTTGTCTTTTCCTTTCACATTTGCCCTCCTTGTAACCTGCTCTCTCCCCCGGCTCTTGATCTTTTCAGGCCCTCCCATATTTTATCCTTCCTTAGAACTGTATACTTTAAGTGCCATAATACTGCAGGTTGGGAGAAAATGCACTTGATTGTTTGAGGCTGTGGTCTGTTTGTGGTTCGACTGACGACAGTTCTCTCTGCCGGGGCGAAACAAGAGTAGAGACGTGCATACATTACAGGCGCACCTATCTGCTGTTTCCTTTATAAAAAAGTAACCCAATAACGTGTGGAAAGGATTTTTAAAAGTTCCTCGGACAGATGTGCGAGAATGCGGCCTTTATGCTGGGCCTCTGAGTTGTGAAGGCTGACTGTTTCTTTTTCTCATATGCATCATGTCTTAGGTCAGTTCTGCAGTTAAAACAGACAAGCTGTGCTCATACTGAGGGAACACCCTGGCCTTCATAAGCACATAGTTTGCCATCACATGTTATTCCAAGAGTCTTACTCCAAGAGTAACACAGAGTGCCTGATGTGTGGAGGAGGCCTCTGTGAAGGGAGTGAGCATGTTTACTGACACTAGACCCCAGCCCTTTGATGGGGTCTGGACTCTCCCTTGTCTTCTTGGCCCAACTTGTTGTATGTGGCCAGCACAAAAATGCATCTTAACATTTATGAGCCGCATTTCTTCAAACCATATACAATGCACAATATACTATATATCAATGCACTCACAGTGTGATTTTGCACAAAGAAGTAAAATTCAAATATATAGATTGATAATTAGAAATGACAAATACTTTAGCAGGAAACTGTAGAAAATATTGTCACAGCTGAACACTACATATATTGTGGCATGTGTTTGTGTGTGTGTGTTCTGACTTTTTTTTTATAAGTTGCACGTTTACATAGGTGTTATACATCAGGAGAAACAGGAGAGGGGGATGTTGAGAAATGTGGCGTAGAAGCTGAGCTGCTGTCCACGCTGAGGAGAGAAGCAGGAGGAGAGGGAGAGAGAAAAGATGGGACATAATGTGCAGCACCAGGCCCTGTGCTCCTGAAGGAGAACCTGGATCACTGTCTTTGGACTTGTTTCTTGATTAAGTAGTGTTGGTCTCGGTTCTGCTTTGTAGTCTGTGCTCATGTTGTGTCTAATTGAATTGAAAATGAACATACTGTCTACACACAAATACAGTGTGTGTGTGTATATATATATATATATAGTTTGTGTGTATATAAGACAGTATTCAAATATGTGAAACTAATTTGATTTTGGATCTGCTTTTAGACTAAGTGTATTGATTAGAATCATGGATAATGTTTTCTTGTGGGGTTTTTTGTAATGTGCATGTGTATTTCTTGGTTCATTGAAGTGAAGCTACAGTATGTATGTTCTATATAGTTCTATGTAGTGTATAGTTCTATGGTCACTAAAGCTTGTGTGAAGAACTGGTAGTAAGAGTAAAACAACAGTGACTTGACTTTTGAATTTTAATTGTGTTAAATGCAAGAAATCTGGGTTAGTGTTAGTTAGAGTTGCATTATTGAATGTTGTACCAGATCAATTTCTTCTAGTTAAATTTAACCTAGTAACATTTCATCCACATACAGAAGAGAGAAAAAAAGACAATGCAGTCAGATGGCAGCAGTCCTGCCAAAATAAACACCAACTATTGTCTGACTCTGGATTGTGGTCCTTTAGTGTTAATAAGCAGCATATTTCAAATAGACACTGACTGGCCTATACTTATTTATATATATTATCTTTTTTAAAGAGATTCACATTTACATTGACTTCAACCTACTCCTGATAACTCACAGAAACTGTAGGGTTTTATATTGAGACCAAATGAATGTTTATTCACTTCAACTCCACTTCGTGTTAGTCATTAGGAGCCCACTCTTCTACACCTGCCTGATCAACCTGCCTGGTACCAGTTGTTAATGAAATAGTTCCGCATGCAAGTGGTGCTTCACTACACACCTCTTGTTTTTTGCTCCATTATGGGGCCTGTGTGTGTGTGTGTGTGTGCACATCAATATGAGAGAAGCTGTGCAGAAGCAGAGGGCCTGATAATTGGCATGTGCTTCAGTGTCAGATGGCTGAAGAGGGGATAATGGTGGACTCAAGCTGCTGCCATGGAGGTGGGGGTGTGAAGGCTTCAAGTGAAGGGGGCACAGTGCTTTTTGTGAATGGGCCCCTCGCCTCTCTTGACCCCCTCCCCCAATTCAGGCCTGCGGGGTCCTTTTGTGGTAAGGGGATGGGAACCCAGGAACCTGGCAGCAAGCGGGTGACCTTCTAGCACCTCGCTCTCGTTGCCTCTCTTCTCACTCCCTTTTTCTCTTTCTTCAACCTCCTTATTGATATTCTCCTCCCGCTCCCTCTCCCACTCCACCCCCCCTCCTTGGCCCAGCTTGCTTTGTCCCATGTCTTATTTTTCAATGCATCCATTTTAATTTAAGGTCTCTTTCCATCTCTCTCAAGTTTTACAAGAAAAGGAATTCTACCCCTTCATTTGAGCAAGTGAGACACAGAGGGGTGGAAGGAAGAGTGAGACAAAAAGGGAGAATGGAGAAAAGCTGGAATTTAGTTATGGAATGGTGACGGAAATGGCAAAGAGAAAATAGGCTTTTACTAGAAGGATGCAATTAAGGAGGAAACTATTGTTAAAAAATAAAGCCGCTGAGACATTTACTGTATGTGAAAAAGAGGTATAAATCCTCCAGGCTCTAAATCTTTATTTTATACACTTGTCTCTCTTTTTCTACCACTTTCTTTTAGCCCCGGGGCTGAATGCTGATGGAGATGGCAGTTGTTTTTGTGTAATGAAATGAGACCAAGAAAAGCTGCTCTCTTATCAGCATGGGTTGGTACTTCCTCATGATGGGCAGAGGTCTACACGTATGCCTAGTTTATTTAGTTAATGACCTCATTTACACAAGTTTTTGTTTTAGTTTCCTAAACAACTTTGCTGCAGTCTGTGAACAAACACAAATGTTAACATGTTAAAAAACTTCTGTTATTTCTCTCTCCACAAGGAAAGTGAGCTATATGTGGAAAGTACTAGCCCATGAGTACTGCTTTGCTTCAGGTGTCAGGAAGTCAAAGTCAAAATAATACAGTCCCTTTAACTGATGTAAAATTGAATGTTTTTTTACACAGCGCGTCTTTATCCAGGAAGTTCTGCTGGAGAGAACCAGTTGAAAAATCAATAAGCAGAGGAAGGAAACCTCCATAAATTATGATGATGTTCTGATTGAAATGTGCAAATCTTTGCAGTACTGCACTGAAAGGCTGTGTTCCTGTGTTTCCCATCACAGGGAGATTTCTTTTACCCGGCAGCTGCAGAAACAGTCTCCTAAACTCTCCTACTACTACCTGGGCTTTTACATTCACTCCTGTCCAAAGATGCGCTATAAGGTAAGTCCTGCCTGCAGAGCATTATTTATTGTCTGACTTTTCATTAAACCAGGTCCAGTTCTGTAATTCAAATCAAAGTCAGATGAAACTGTGCATTTGTATTTTTTGAGGCTTTTATACAGGGATGCAACGCTTCTAAAAGTTGGGCTAATGTCAATGTCCAAGACCATTCAAGACTAATTGCTTTTACATTTATCAGACGTACACATTTAACAAAGAATTTTTGATTCTGATCTAACTCAGATGTGAGGGCTGGATTCGGCCAGACAAGTCATTTCCCGTGGCCAGAGAGCTTAAAAAACATACTAAGTCAATGCTGCTTCATCACATGAATTTAACTCCCGCAATACCTTGCGTCAATAGCAAGTGTATTTTTCTCAGCAGTTAGGGTTAGGGTTAAAAAACAAAATGCAGTCTGTTATAGTCTTCATCCCTATCACTGCTTCAGAGATCATCCCATTTTAGAACAACAACTTCTCCTCTCATGACCTGGTCTGTTCCTGTTGTTACACAAATCTATATAGTCTATACAGAAAAATCCTTTCCCCCCTTTATTTCCGGGTCAATAACCATTGTTTTTACATTAAATCAGTAAAAATGTTTCTGTGAGAACTCTGTTTGCATTTATTAGAATAAACGTGCATGGAAAAGTTATCCACAACAGATTTATCAGCAGTAAAGCCTACAGCGGAAGTGGAGTCCAGTATTCCAGTACAGTGAGTGTAAGAGTGACAAAAAAGGATGCAGGGGATGTTCAGGAAAGGAAGTGGAGCTAGGGCTGCTCAAGACATTAGAAGTTGAGAGTGAGGTCACACTTCCAGCAGTAGCTCAGCAGTAGCTCAGCAGTGAGATGTTTGCTGCTCATATTCATATCCATCTTGAATGCATCTCCTGTAACTGCTGAGCTGCACCTGCTTTAATCTACACAGTCTATTGATCTTAGTGGCTGAAAGCACTGATCATGAAGCTTTAAAATAAAAATTAATAAAAAGACCTATGTACCCAAATAAAAATGGGAATTTTAGTGATTTTTAATTAAAAAAAAACGACAAGAGAGAGGGTAATAAATGTACACCACATGTGGATCAGGTGGTGTGTGACCTCTCCTCTGGATAATAATATTAAGTCTAAACAGGAATAATAAACAATTCAGGTGTATAGCTCAATAGAAAAAACTATTATTTTACCAAATATTTACTGTTCTGTGTTTTATCTGATTCATTTACTACTGGCTCCATTTCTCCAACATTGTCTATCTCCACAAAACATGCATTGTATCTATTGGAATGTGATGTCTTGTTAAAGATAGTGGCAGAGCGCCACATAAATTTGGCACATATATTTACATCTTGTTTGTGGATTTGCTGAGTATTGTTATCCATTTTTCCCAGCCCTGAAGCCTATGATGGAACTGTGTTTTTGTGTCTGTGTATTGAATCACGGTCACACCGTTTCCACAGCCACCAAACCCACCCCTCCACTGGCATTCAGTCCTCGACCCCCCATATCTGTTTTTGTGTATTTGCCATCACTTTATCTTGTTCACGATCTGCCCATTTCTTCCCATTTTTTTCTACCCTTGGGAAGGAACACAGAACAAGGGAAGGTGAGAAGGTTGTCCAGTTCCCACCTTTAGGCTCTCACACTCCCACAGAAACACCCCTGCTCAACACACACTCTCAGCACATGCACAGTGTCTCACTCCATTGTCTAATTTGCATATGAGACAGAGTAGTTAATTAATGCAGAGACATACTGTGGAATTGTTCATTCCCAAGATGGCGTGCCTCTAAATTCTACTGTTATTGTGTTGAGGGATAGGCTCTTCAAAGACCCAAACACCAATACTTGAACCCTGCTGGACACCACTCAAATGTCTCCAGCACAACTCCCTATCCACCTGCCCCCTCCTCTCCATGTGCCTCTTCTCTGTGGTTCACTGTACCCATCAGCAACTTAGATTAATTCAAAACAACAACAACAACACTAAGAAAAATACCCTATTTTGCCATGTGACCACCAGGATTATTTAGGGTAGAGTTGCTTGAACGCTTTCAATCTCTCTCATAAAACATCTAAAAAAGAAGAAAAACAAATGTCTTACTAATGATGGTCTGTATTGACAAACATCTGAAAAAAAGTCAATGGACAGATTCCTCGGTTAGATCACTAAATACGCTTTTCCCAAATATCTTTCCTTCATTGAGTCACTTAAAAATTCACTTAATGTTATTACTTTTTTATGCTACCTTTTTGTTATGTAGTTATTTTCTGTAAATATTTTACATAATACATTTTTTTTATGAAGGAATAATTGGTATTATGTGTAACTTTGTGTTGACTTACAAACTTAGTTACAGGGCTTCGGTAACCAAGTATAACGCTAAACACACTGAGGAAATCCTATCTTTATTAATGTCAACATGACCCGATTTTACGTTGAAGCTAAGAAAGACAACTAAATAATATGCTAACACTAACAACTATCGAAAACCAGTTTCTGCTCTATGGAATTTCACACAACTGTTCATATATACGCTCGTTCCCCGAGGAGCAGTAGAACTGCATTGTTTATGAAACTGATCCTGGTTGCTTTGCGAATGGCATTTTGTGGCGTCTCGGTATAATGTTCATAAACATACTGGAGGTTTTTTTTTCAAAACCAGCGGTCAGGTGTCGCACTAAGCCTCAACCTGAGATGTTCTTTTGTGTTGAGGATTGGATTGGGTTAAAGCTACAGTCTGAGGGTGGATTGACTATCAATTCTGCAGGTCACATCTTTGAGTACCCAGGGGAACGACTCCATGTACAGAAGGATGAAAAAAAAAAAGAGTGTCAAAGCCTGGTCATGCTTCTGTAGCACTGGAACCTCCTAAAGAGTCCTAGAAGTCTTGGAGTCCAGCCAGAATAAGGGCACTGCCCGGCCAGTGTCAGACCCTCTTCTTTGTTCTCAAAGCTGGGACTGAGCGTCCCACAGAGCTGGGCTGGTTTGGCTGGTGGTTTCAGGATTAGATGTGACATCCTGCCCCTGGCCAGCATCCCTGCTCTTTCTGCCCTCCCTGGCTCTCTGATGTTGAACTGTGAAGAGCAGAAGGCAAAGCTCTTGGAGGCTAAATGAGACCAGAGGTCTTGGCCCTGCTGCCACAGATTTTTTTTTCTTGCTGCCTCTCATGTGTAGCTAACAGACAATTGAATGAACTGTTTTCATTTCTTCAAACAGTGTATCGGAAACTCCAAGCATTAGCATTAGATTGACTGAGGTCATTAGGGAGAAAGCGTGAGATTTTAAGCAATTGGCCAACGTTTCTTTTCTTTTCTTCTGTCCTTGTCCTTGAAAAACTCTCCATTGTCTGCATCGACTGAACTGCTTTAAGACTATATTGCATAGGTTTCCTGAGACTAATTTATAAGTTTTATATGTTTCTGTTTTTTTAATTCTTTTTTAAGGGTTGTCTGCATGCAATACATAAAACATGTGTGCAGAGCAAAATTAACTGCATTCTTTGGCATTCGTGCATGTTCTTGATTGGTTGATTGAAAAATTGATTGAAGAAAACCCCTTTTTTTAATGGAATCGTGTAAAAGATCAATTTTGCCTTGGATTTTCCATTTCTTTGCGGAGATGCGTGTGAGCACTGGTCTGTGTCAGTTACATTAACATAAGTGCAGAACAAGCAGTCTTTGATGATAACAAATGAAGCGGTTAGCCACTTGGCTTTGCCAGTCTGCAGTACCTGGTCCAAAGAGATCAAAAGCAGCAACGTTCAAATTTGCCCTCACTGAACAGACAACACACAGACAGAATACCCAGTTTTATCCGCTCTGTGAAGTCGTGCAAGAGTCACATGAAGAGGCTTTTACTCTTGTCATTATTATACCCAAAGTGAAAGAATGTCTCGCTCTGTGCCGAGGAAACCATTACATTTTCCACAGAGGAAGATGAAGGAGTGAGTAAAATAACCGAGAAGCAGAGGAAGAGGGCAGATGGAGAGAGAAAAGAAAAGAAAGTGACAAAATCGTTGCCAAATGAGAAGGGAGGCAAGATGAAAAGGATTATTTATTTCCCAGTGGCACTTCACTGACTTTTTAAAAGCCCTTTAGCAGCAGCTGCACCTCCGTTCTTTTCAACCCAACTCCTCCACACTGACAAACAACAAACAGTAACAGAGCAGGACAGTTCTCTAGCAACAGTCTGGAGTTTTTCCACACAGGCAGAGTTTTTGAATTCAGTCGTTCTGAAATGTTTAAATACAGGTGCATGAAACCACCACGCTGGAAAAATCCAATTATTGGTTTTCAGCTTCTGTATTATTAAGGCCTCTCAAGGCATGAATGCATCCATGTGGTTAACAACAACAACAACACACACACACACACAAACATATACAGTATACTGTATATACTGTATGTATTTATATATTCCTGCAAAACTCTCTTCCCCAGTGTGGGCAGGTTATGTCATGTCAAAGACTCAAAGCACCACAGGTATCAGGACTCTGCATGTGTGTTATTTTTCAGTTTACTGTGTGGATATGTGTGACCTCACGTTCTATGCGTCACTTGTTGTGCATCTGGGCAGATTGAATGTGACAGTGAGTGACTTTGAGGCATTCACAGAAAGGTGTCTCCCACAGAGGTTGAGAAACTACAGCACTGTTTTTCTTCCTCTCCTCTATGTTTGGCTTTAAATAGCTTGTAGAACCCTTTAAATCTATGATAGTTTTTATTGAGTTGTTTGAAATTGTTCTGAGTACACAGCAGTGGAACTGTGGGTTTATGCTTCAACCCTACATGTTCAGACACAGTGCTGCCGTCTCCTTCTCTACTGTTGTTTCCATTCTCCTTTCAGCAACTGTTTAAGAAACCAACCACCATACTGGTCAGGATGAAAGACTGATAGAGAGAGAAGGAACTCAACTAAGAAAACATCCACACGATGTCCCAGATAAACACATAGAACATTTTGTTCATTTATTCCAAACTTTCTGTAGTACCAGGAG